CCGCGTGCCGGGGTCCGGGGCGCCACCCCCGCCGCGCCGCCGCGTCCCGCCCCTCGGAGTTGGGGCGACTGAAGTTTGAGCGAGAGTGACTCCCCCGGCGGCCCGGGGCTGTAAACACCGCATCCTGCGCCCGGCCCCCCTGCAGGCTGCCTGTTGGCCGGCCCCCTTTTGTGCGGCGTTTGTTTCCTCTCGCTCTCGGATGCATCGGCCTTTTCACGATCTTGTCTGCTATTTTGTTTATTTACTTATTTTTGACACAAGGTCTCGCTTTGTAGTCCAGGTTGGCCTTGAACTGACTGTATAGTCCAGGCTGGCCTCGAAGTGCTCCTCCTGCCTCAGCCTCCCCAGTGCTCGGGTTACAGGCACCGACTCCTGATGGTATCCTCATTCTGTACATGGGGACCTGGAGGCCGGAAGCCGAGGTCACGGAGAGCTGTCAGTGCCTTCTAATGATGACTGAGTGGCGCTCAGGCAAGGACAGCAGGAGGTTGGCCTTTTCCTCGGGGACAAGTTCCCTGGAGCTGCTGGGGAGGACCTCAGGGTGAGTCACGTTGGTGTTCTGCAGGCTCTCCAGGCCCTTAGGTGCTCTCAGCCGTTTGCAGGTTTTGTGAGCTGCGTTTACCTGTGTGAAGGAGAGGGCGCTTGGCCAGTAGTTTTCCAACACGTATTGGAGAAGTTAAATGTCCTTGTAAACGGCTAGGCTGTGGGGATGTTAGGTATTGTTTTTAACAGACATTCACTCTCTAGCTGTTCTTTAGTATCTTTTTGTGTCTGTGGCTAGAAAATTCTTTTTTTTTTTTTTGAGACAGGGTCTCACTCTGCAGTTCAGGCTGGCCTTCAACTCCACCGTGTAGCCCAGGCTGGCCTCAAACTCACAGCAATCCTCCTGCCTCAGCCTTCTGAGTGCTGGGATTACAGGCGTGCGCCACCACGCCCAGTGAGAATCCTTGCCTGACACCCCCCACCCCCCACCCCCGCGCGCCTGGATTAAGCGTACCCACGACATTGGCTGTCACATCCCTCAGCCCCCAGCGCTTTTCCCTGGCCTGTGTGTGTAGTCCCAGCAGTTACGTCTCCTCACCTCGGTCTGTCCCCAGTGCCTTGGTGCCTGTCCTTCCCCCGTGGCAGTGAGCTGCGCCCCGGTCCCACTCTCTGGGCTTGGTCCCCTGGGTTCCGAGTGCAGGGTCTTGTGCTGGGCGGTGAGGCTGAGGGGTGGGGTGTGGAGCCTCGGGACGCGCGGGGACTGCGCTCCCAGGCCGATGTGGGCCTGGCCAGGTGACTGCTGGGGGGACAGTGTCCTGGCTAGTGTGGTGTTTGTGGTAGGTCCTCGGAGGCCTGAAGGTGAGCCTGTGTTTTAACGTTTATACCTTGCACTGTGTGAGGGGAATGACGGCAGGGACCTGGCAGAAGCGCGAGGTCCCCAGGAGCAGACTAGGGAGAGAGGGCTCTAGAGGCGCCAGCCGGGACTCGGGCCTGCTTCCCGCTGGCTGTGTGATCTGCGGGGATCGCAGAGCCGCTCCCCACAGCCTCTCCTTGGTGTGAAGTGCGGGAAGTACCTGCTGCACAGGCCTGGGCCGTGCGCGCCTCCGCGCTCCTGGAAGGAGCCTGGCAGCTGCCGAGAGCTCGGGTCGGTGAGCTCTCTGAGCCGTCAGTGTGGAAAGTAGTTTAAATAAACAAGCGACATGACCCAGTTTGCAGTACATGCCACTGCTTTGCTGTTGTGTGAGAGGGTTGGACGCCAAGTGCAGAAGGGTTGAGGAGTTGGGGGAAATCTGGAAACGCCACTGACTTGACTTCCTGGCCAGCAGAGAGAAAAAGTAGAGCTCTGTGAACACCCAGAGGGGTTGGAGCAGGCTGCAGTGAGTGAATGTCATTTCCCACAGAAAATCCGTTCTGCACACTGCTGTGGGAGCCTTGGCATGGACATCCAGGAAGAGCTTGGTGTCAGTCACGGGCCCTTTGCATACCGCTGTCACAGAAAGATTCTTCCCTTGCCCAAGGGAGACAGCATCAGTGCAGCCTGAGGAAGTGTCAGCAGCCTCATCCCCAGCTGTTCAGTCACTTAGGTAGCAGCCGTGTTGCCGTGTAGCATCATCATCGTTAGCAGCTGGACCTCCACTCACAGAATTCCTTGGTTACTGGGACATTCAGGATGGGAGGGTGGTTTAAGTGATGCTTGTTCCAGGCCATGGTGAGACGCTGTCCTGCCCCACACATGCAGGTGGCCCCCTGGGGCAGCACTGGGCAGCCCCCATACCGCCCCTGGCTTTCTGATGTGGGAGGCCCCTGACTAAGAGGCCGAGACAGCCTTCGCTTTGCTCAAGTTGTCTGGCAGTTGGAGGAAGCTGGCTGCTGCCTCTGGTGCAGGGCTGAGCCAGGTGGCCCCCCATCCTTGGAGCTGCAGGGTTGGGTGGGAGTAAGCGGGCCAGTTGTGTTTCCTTGTGAAGATGAAGTTCAGTGTAGACCTGACACAAAGGAGGAAGTGAGTTTTAAATGAAATATCCGGGGGTCGTGGTGGTACATGCCTATAATCCTAGTATTCAGGAGGCTGAGGCAGGAGAATTACTAAAAGTTTAAGGCCAGCCTGAGTTATAAAGCCCGAGCCTGTCTGAAACACACTCTCTCTCTCTCTCACACACACACACACACATACACACACACACAAAAATCTATCAAAATGGGAAAAAATAAACATCTGCACAGAACTCCCAGGGAAAGGGCTGGTGTCCTTGCATCTTGTTTTTCTTCTTTCTCTAAAGCACCTAATTCAGAGTTGCTCTTTAGTCATGTTTTCTCCTAACCCAGAGACTACCATAGGTTAAAGTTCTTGTATCTAACCCAGGCCTCACTTCCTGGGCCCGATCTTTTGGATGAGGACTCTGTCTGGAGCCAGAAAAGACAGCCCTGCCCACTGTGGAGCCAGGCAGTGCGGCTTTGCCTCATTCCAGTGGGGTGGACGGATGGGGAAGAGAGCCCTGGCCCAGCGGGTGTTTGTCCTCCTGCAGGCCCTGTCCTCACCCTGGAGCCCTCGGATCAGTCAGGAGAGGGAGTTGCAGAGTTGCACTGTTGACATTGTTGGCCGGGGTGGGGTGGTTAAAAGACTTGCTCAGAACCTTACCCCCCCTACACGCATGTGGACTGCCTCGAACATCGGGCCAGGCCAGAAGTGCACAACGTGTTTGGGGCATCTGTACTCCTGCAGTGGGGAGTGAGGCTCCCCAGGGCTGGGCTTTGTTGAGAGCGGGAGCAGTTCCTAGGCTGGAGGGGAGCATAACAGACTTTAGGTTTTAAAGACCCACCCTAGCAGGAGTGTTTATTTGAAAAATTCCTGATGACTAATGCCTGCCTTATAACTGGTCCTGCTGCCTGCTGGGATGAATAGCTGTCTTTTCATGCAGGCAGAGAAGCTGTGGTTATAAAAAGCCTGAACATGGAAGCCCCCTAAAACTGCTGGGGAGAGGAGCTGAAAGAACGCGTGTGACCAGGGAGCCCTGCACTCCCGCCTAAGCAGCTCCGCCATCCGCAGCTCCTAGCCCTCTCTCCTGCAAATGCTGCTGCTCTGCTGGCTCTTCAGATCCATGCAGGCTGGTCACCTAGGACAGTGACACCTAGCAATGCCTAGCCCATCTGAGTTTGTGCAGGACACACATTTCTCAGAGTGATTGCGTGTAATCTCAGCCTGCAGGAAGCTGAGGCAGGAAAGTTGCTGTGAGTTTGAGGCCATCTTGGACTACGTAGTGAGTTCCAGGCCAGCCTGAAATAAATAGCAAAACCCTATCTCACAAAAGCCAAAAAGAAAAAAGACGACTTTTTCAACCTGTTTTAAATACTCAACACTTTTCATAATTTTGTTTTTTGGCAGAGCTAGAGGTTAAAGGGAAGGAATCTAAGGCCTGGGACACAGGCAGCACTCTACCTGAGTGAGCCCCGCCCCTTATTGTTGACAAAGCCTGTTATCATCCTCTTATTGTCTGTTAACTGTGGACCTCGGTGTGCGCTGCACAGTCCTCTGGCTCAGTACGCTGAGACTGCGGCCTTGGAGGGATCTGCAGACCAGGCGGGCCGCGGGGCCAGGCCCTCCCCCGCCCTTCATGTGAAGGCTTCTCCCTGTTGGACCGGAATGAACCAGAAAACTTGAAGCTGCCCTTTTTCCCATTCTCTATTCACAGTTAGGAAATTTGTTTTCAGGAATCTCATTGTTCCCTAAATTTATTTAAAATAATTGCTTTCAGTTGGTTGTCCCTTTTTTGCTTGGCAGTCATGTTTTATTGTTTGAGTGATTGGTGAAATGGGTAACTTCATTTCTTTTTGCTGTTTTGTTTTTCGGTTTTTCGGGTTTTTTTTTTGGTCTTTTTGACACAGGGTCCTGCTATGCAGTTCAGGCTGGTCTTGAGCTTGAGCTCACTTTGTAGCACAGGCTGGCCTTGAACCTCCAGCGATCTTCCTGCTTCAGCCTCTGGAGTGCTGAGATTACAGGCGTGCGCCACCATACCTGGTGCCTGTTTGGTTTTTTTGTTTTGTTTTGTTTGTTTTCCGGTACTGGGAATCGAACTCACGACCTTACACTTGCCAGGCAGTCTCTGTGCCACTGAGCTAAATCCCCAGCCCCCAACCGGCGCCTGTTTTTTGGTTCTTTTGGGACAGCATTTCACTGTGCAGTTCACACTGGCCTTCACCTCACCGTATGGCC